TCAGATTTTACAAAAAATTATAGCACGTTTTGGTGACGTCATCAATTATGACGTCATAATCTGACATTTTGTCACAACTTCCAAATTAAAATAAACTGGGGAACAAAGAAAGCTCATCTGCCAAACTTGGTTTAGAAATATGTAAACCAAGCAAATATAGCCTTCATGAAACATTAGGGGGGTGGTTTGGTCCCTACGTGATATAAGTAAAAAAATACACTGAAAGGGTCATGTAACTGTTAAAGTGTTGACCCTCCTTCACACAGTGGAACCTCGATATAACGAAGGGCCAAGGGAATGGCAAAATACGTCGGCTATAACGAAGTTTCGTTGTATCGAGGTTCTTTTCCATATATTTTACTATTACTGGGGTCAGGAAAATCGTCCGTTGTACCGAGGACTTTTAAATTCGTTATATAGACGTTCGTTAAATCGAGGTTGCACTGTACCTGCACGTTCAATTGGCCTTCACGTGGACATATTCAAGCTAGTTCTTTCTTTCCTTGCGAAACGCTTGTTTTGTTTTAATCATTTTTTTTTAAGCCAGTGTTTAACCCTTTTAACACATTGACTTTGGTAAACTTTGCATATACACGGCCTCGACGTGTTTTTTAGTCAAGAATTTTATTATACTTTGAACTAGTTGTGGTGTAATACACTACTTCGAGGTAGCATGAGCTAAAAGAACTACATACATGCACTTCGCCTTCGCCGAATCCGACATGTCAGATGTACAATACATACAAAGTCGGTATCTATGAGAACTAGTACCTCGATATCGTGCCACGTGATGTCCGTTGATCTCAGTCCTCTTGGACACGTCCAAGCGGGAAGCCTTTTTATTGTTGAAATTATTGTAACATCGAAATCGCTTCTTCGTATCTAAACCTTGGTTCTCAAGTATTTCCTTGGAACATAGACTGTTGAACAACTTTTAATTGCAAAAGTACACTGATTCTGCACATGACAGGGAAGTTAAACTAACCCAGCGTTGGCAGCACTCCGAGTCTTGTTCACCACTTCAACTGCACCTTCCATAGTACGCTCTTTGCGGACAGCAGTCTCGCCGAAAATTTCGCCTCCTTGCTCGCTGTTCATTTTAAGCGATTAATGTGGCTTTATCTTGTTTATGATTCGATTGAAAGTACTGCTCAGTTCACTCGCTCGCGGGTACTTTCAAAACAGTTTTTTCACGGACTCGTTTATGGGGCCAGCGACTTGCTACACGTGCTGGTCATAAGTATTGCTGGCTTTCATGTGACGTTGCCGTATTCCAAAATTAAACATTACCCGCCTATCCGTCTGAGGTTTTGAGTTCCATCAGATATAAGACCCTCTATTAAAGATCTTTACGTTTTATAGTGATTTAGTTCGACGGGGTTCTTCGTTTTGTAATCGAGCACGTTTGAATTTCCAAGCTTTACGTTGTGTGACATTAAAATAACGGCCCGAGAAGGCTGTCGCGCTGGTGAAAAGATGACGTATCGCTTAAGTTTGTGCTAACTGAACAGTTCTTGCACTAGAAGAAGTAATAATTTGTAAGTGTCTCTAGAGTAAAACCTTTCCGTTTCAACAGCATCACAGCATAACTCAATAACAAGTCAGTTTCTTTTACTTTACGGCCCAAAGTTGCCCTTACGTTAGTGAAACTTGTACTTTTTCCTCCCCCAGTAGCTAAAGAAAAAAGTTAAACCTTAACCTTCCCTCGCGCGTTACGTGATCAAACTGGGTCCGAATATTTTAATTTACAACATTGATTGCATAAGAGAGCGGATAGATAAACCAAAAACATAAGAAATGGAACAAATAATTGTTTTGACCAATTGGAGA